GGGGGGGGGGGGGGGTTACAATATTGATTCATCTGTTCTCAATACTAGTTTATCTAATCTGCGTCATGCTCTTTTTTTTTGCTGTACATGTTAAAGATTAGTGTTGGTTTTTGCAGTTTGCTGTGCTCTGCAGTGATTACTGATGTTTTGCATGGGAGGTTTGTTATTAAAACACTGGCCTTGAGCTTAATCTGGTATTTGAGCTTTGTACTGAAGCCATTACTGTACTTTGGATACCACTTTGTGGAGATATTTAGCAGTTATACATTATTCTCCTAATAAATCCAAAACACAGCACCATACCAGCTACTAGGAAGAAAATTAACTCTATCCCAGCTGAAACCAGGACAGTTAGGTAGACAATGCTGAAAAAAAGTCAGACTAATTTCACAATTACACTTATGCAGACCCTGTAACCAAGTAAAATTATTGGGTAGTGAAAGCATCATCAGATACTGGGTTTGACGTTGCTGTTCAAGAATGACAGCAATTTTGTTGGGATTACTAGCGATGGTAGTTTATATTTTTTGTTCCACTGTTTTGCTTTTGAATGTGTATGCCACTGTGCTAACAATCTGGAGCACGTATTGAATATTGGGTTGGCCACTGAGGATAAGTGTTGGTAGCTTGGCAACATAGTAACACAGATAATTTAATGATAATCCATTTATCAAAATAAAATAAGGAATTTTTTTTTCTATTTTCTAGGGTTTGAAATAACTTTTTTTGCCACTACCTGCATCATTACTTGGAATATACGTTACTATTTTACTTACGAATATCTTATTAAATTCTGCCGTTGTGTACCCTTGCTCACCTAGTGACATAAGTGACAGTTGTGTATCCATCTTAGAGCATTATTCATCTCCAGTTTGGATGTGGTCAGGCAAGCAGAACCCAAAATTCTATTCCTTGGGTGTTATGTAAAAGTAGTACCATTTGGGTTTTGTTTTTTTTATTCAGCAAAAGGACAATATGAGGAGCAATCATATTAAATTAATCCCAAGGTCATACCTTAAAAACTCATAAGCTGTGCCTGTAATGCCCAGCAGGTAAGTTCTGTGCCCTTAAATAGAGGACCAGTGGCACATGTGACCTTAGTGCCTGTTTTTCCTTTGTGTGGAAAATAGAGTATTGGGGAGGAGGTGAGGAGGTCCTTCTGACATGAACCCAGGACACATCTGAGGTGTGCGCTTGAACCCGGAAGCCTTCAAAGCAGTCTGAGATCCTGTGCTATACGTACCGTCCCGTCGGCCTCAGTTAAATCATTCTGTGATCATCTTCCTTTTAACCAGTTCCGATGTTAAAAATTCTGTACTGTTCTACATCTTCTGATCTTACCTAAGGGTTTTTCATGTCATACTGTATCAGATCCTCTACTGAAGTCTGATGGTCTAGGTCTATCCTTAAAATAACTGATGTTTTTAAATTATCAGAGACTGATAGTGAGGAGTCTGGCATGATCTGTCTCTTCTGAACCCCACGTGACATTTTATTCCTAACACTTCTAGTAGATTTTTCTTTCCAAACCAGCATGGAAAGCGCTAGAGCTATATGGACAAATAGGTGTTTATTTTCCCTGGGTTACTCCTCTTGTATTTTTATTATTTATTTTGTAATTATATATAAAATAGCAATCACTGTTCCTTAGGTGCTTAGTCCCACACCTGAGTCAAGAAATCTGTTAAAAATTCTTTCTCCTGAGTTTATAAATTCACACAGCAGTTCTTCCATTGGTTTGGGATAAAGCTTTGCTAGTCCACCTGATCTAAGTGTAATTTTCTTGTCTTGGTTGTGATCATTTTCAGTATGTATCAGCCCTTCTAGCCATGCCCTCATGTTCTGTTCCACTGAAACTAACCAAAAATAGAAATTTTATTTTTGGATGATACTTTGACCTCCTTTTTTTGTTTGTTTGTTTTTGGTTTGGATTTTTTTTTTTTATTATTCCTTCCATATCTTTCTTTATATGGCTGGAAAAAATCTTGTACTGTTTCACTAATTTCTTTAATTCTTACTGTAATATCTGTCTTGGCCTGACTTTTGGTAGTCCCCACTTCATCTGTACAATCTGCTAGTGACAATATCTAGCTTTTTCCCCCCATAATTAATTCCTCTTTCTATTTTTATATGCCTTTTTGCATTATTTCTCATGTTGTTTCATGGTTGTGATTCTATCAGTTAATCTCAGGTGTGGCTACTTGCAGGATTTTTTCCTTTATTTGGGGTTTTTAACACATTCCAAATACTTTTTGCACTTTTGTATTTTAGAGTAAGTTCACAGGATCACACATGATTGAATTTAAATATCTAAAGTAAGTTATTGTTGCTCAGTTGAGCATGTGCCTACTCTTACCTCATTTCAACATAAAATTGTTTTGCTTAGTACATTCAGTTACTGCATCTTATCTAAGGGATGGTAATTTTTTAGGATGCGCTTGTGTGGTCTCTTGCAGTTATGAAGTTCTTCAAAGAATTTCTAAGTTATTCTAACTACCATTGTGTTCGGTTCTCTGAACTCTTAAGATGACTTAGAAATCTTGCAAACTGGTTTTTAAAAAGCCTTCTTTTAAATAAACTCTAGTTGTAGATCTGTTTTGTTTATTCATCAGTGAAACGGGTAGAGATTTTCACAACTAGCTCTTCCTATAGACTTCTTACTCCTTTAATGATCAAATACTTAAATTTTCAAAAGCAAATTACTTGTTTTAAACTATCTCTTGATTTTGAAACCAAGTCTAAAACCAGTATCATTATTTTCATTTCAAACTCTATCCTGAAACACATTCCAGGAATGTCTGTGCCTATTACTACTACTCACACTTGCTGTCCAGTTTTACTTTATGTATGCTCTGCATGCTCCTATCCTCCATGATGCAGTATTTTCCTATAACAATGGAAAATTGAGGGATTATAAAAAAATTATGAAAGTGGATTATTTTCACTTTTAAGTAAAGGAAATGTGAGAAGTAATGAGCATTAACAATAAAAAGGAGAATTGAGAAGTGAGGATTAGACTTGCAAAGTTGTCTACTTTAAAATGTGATAAATACAGGGGATATGAATTTTAAATGTATGTACTTCCTTGACTCTTCCGTCTTTTTTAATACATTTTCTTTATAATATGTTCAAACATATATATCTTATATAGCTTTTAGATTGTTTATCATTAAAGTGAATGAGGAACCAGATTGTATCAATTAGCCAATTTTCCCTCCCAGCAAATGTCTGTGAAAGTAAAATGCCTTTTTCTTTTCAGCTGCAGTACATAAAATTTCCAAAAAAGTAGATATGGATGTTTTTTTAATACATTTTCTTTATAATATGTTCAAACATATATATCTTATATAGCTTTTAGATTGTTTATCATTAAAGTGAATGAGGAACCAGATTGTATCAATTAGCCAATTTTCCCTCCCAGCAAATGTCTGTGAAAGTAAAATGCCTTTTTCTTTTCAGCTGCAGTACATAAAATTTCCAAAAAAGTAGATATGGATGTGTATAGGAAGAGAATGGAGATCATGCTTCAGTAAGTTGGCATGTATTTTTCTAAAGGAAAATGATCACTGTTAATCATGTAAATACAATAATTTTAGTATAATACAGTTTAAAGATACACTTACTTAAAAATACTTTGTGCAAATTTAATTCAGTCTCTTTTCTGTGTAGATATGGATGTGTATAGGAAGAGAATGGAGATCATGCTTCAGTAAGTTGGCATGTATTTTTCTAAAGGAAAATGATCACTGTTAATCATGTAAATACAATAATTTTAGTATAATACAGTTTAAAGATACACTTACTTAAAAATACTTTGTGCAAATTTAATTCAGTCTCGTTTCTGTGAAGGCCAGGAATTAAGTCAAGAAAGAGGTACAGTAAAAAAAGTTCTCAGCATCATTAAAATTTTGAATACAGGACTCAGTTATTTCTTCCAGAAGCGAATTTTTAAGTTGTCTCCCAAAATTACGCTATGAATGCTTATGAAAATACCATTTCGGATCACTTCTCTCTTAAAACTTACTCTGATGTATGTTCTGTTATTTAGGTAGAACACTTACCTCTTTTGAAATCAAAAGAATCCTTCCCTTCATGTATGATGAGATTTTTTGGGGGGGTAAAATACTTCCTGTTATGTGACGGCCACTCTCATAAGAATTTAGATTGGTATTTGTTAATTATATCTGAGTGGGTTAAATAGTAATTGCTGAAAGGAGATACTCTGCTAACAAAATGCCTTTGGAAGCCTAAGATTAATAGGAAGAAAAACATAAGTTTGCTGTTTGGCCACGTCTTCCATGCATAGATCTTTGTTGTAGGGATATGTTTGGAGAAGACTGTGTGAGTTCAAAAGATGGCTCTGTCCTGTGCGTCACGGTTGATGGAAAGACTGCAAACATTTCGCTGGACACTCGGGTACGTACAGCAAAGCACTCGCTTTTGTGTGCACTATGTTTAACAGAGGTGAGTCTCCAGTCTAGTATACAGTGATGCCTAGAATATCGTGTACCCATTTGCTAAGGAAATGTTTTTGTATTTGGTATCAAAACAGCTTAAGCCTATTCGCTTTCCATTAATTTCATTGACATTCTCATCAGCCGATCAGTACCCAGCCTTTCTGAGAGAAATACCGATCCAGCCTGCAAGCTGAGTTTACTGAGTTTGTTACAGAAGCATTTGCTAGAGAGTTTTCTTCATTAAAAAAATGCTAGCAATGTTTACATAACAAATGCAGTAAATTTGGAAGAAAACCCAGTATGTTTCAGCAGCTCTCTACTTGTATAAAAACGAATAAAGAAAGATTGTAGAGGAGAAGCTGATTTAACCCACAATTTTTTTTTTAATGCTCTTAAAACATAGGCTCTGGTCTGAATAATTGAACAATCACAGAGTAGGAATGATGCTAATAAATTTTTTTTTGTCATCTTGATCCTTTTGTAGCTAAATTGAAAGCCTGAAATACTCACAAAAAGAAATACTTTACTGATTTACAAGCTAGATTCAGAATTGGATGTCATGCGTGTCAGAAGGCTGCTTTAAGAAGCTATCACACCTAGTTATTTGAACAATGTGGAACTGTAAAGAATGGTTAAAACCATGTCCTTCGTGTCCTTAAGCATTTTAATGTGTTGACTTTCTGTGATTATTTATATAGTTTTAATACGTTATTATGTATTACCACTAACCACAGTAGTAATATATTCCACTGGAGTAGCTCTCAGATGCTGTCCTTAGGGATCACAACAAGTGTTTTAAGTGTTCTACAAACCCAGAAGAAAAGGTTGGTCCCTGCCCAAAATTTGTTACCTATTGAAACAAAACAAGTGAATGTTAATTATCTTAAGAGGATAGTGAGTTACAGTTTTGTGGTTAACACCCAATGCTTGCTGTGTCATCTTTTTTCAGTGTTTTAATAAACATATGCTACATTTCAGTGTATACATAGTACAGAAAAATACAGGACTGATGAAGAGAGTTCTTGCAATAGAGAAGAAAGTAACAAGACTGGAAAAAAATGCATACTGCTTAATCAAAAAGTTAGGTTTCATTTTCATATACTATACTGATATATGTCATTATTGTTAAAAGACTTGTGTACTGACAGAAACCGTAATGGCAACTCAACTGCAACAGCGTGTATCTTTGTAATACTTATTTTATATACTGTGTTGGCAATGGCAAGCTTGTGCCATTGTGAACCAAGTTTTACAAGAAAGATCTGTCCTTCTTTATGTGCATATCTATCTTCTTATAAACCTTTAATAGCTTTAAAATAAAAAACTGTTTAGTATAGATCTGATTATATGGTGGGACATGTAGATTTATTTTTTCCACGTTAACTTAACACGGTGCTTTTGCAGTAAACAAGCTTTTAACAGCATTGTTAGCTAACATTAAATACACGTTTGCTGTTTCAAATGCCTTTTTTTTTTCCCCAAAACCTTTATGGTTGAAAGGAGTTACTTGTTCAGAAGAGTAACAAGTTAATACTGAATTACAGAAGATACAGTCTTAGAGCCTAGAAAGTCCATAGGATCAAGAATAGTATTACTATGCAAATGCTGCCCTTTGGTTTTGAGATAGAGCAGTCAGGGGATTGGGTTGAATGTCGATCAACTTGCAAGTTTGGGGTGGGCATCTTTCTCTAGGAAGACTTGTTTTAGTGATAAATTAATCTCTTTGGGGTTTTATTTTGATGTAAATGTTATCTTATGGGTGTGGGAACATCAGTGTGGAGACTCCCTGAGTACAGGTGCCTGTACCTCCGTGATGAATGCACGTATTTTGCAGTATTAACCTAATACAATGCAGGTGAATTCACAGATAAAATGAAATCTCCAAGGACTGAACCTTGTGTGGTTTTATTTGATTTTGAATTAAATGTAATCTACAAAACTTAATGCATTTTACTTAGTAGTTTTGAAACAAGTTATTAATCAAACATTAAACTCGAGATTAAGCTTCTTGTTCCTCAGCAGGACTTGCATAAGTCTTCTCTGAACTCTTCTGCGTGTTGGCAGACCATTTAAAAACATCCAGTGCCACTCCTGATAACTTTCTTTTCAATTTGCATGACTACTTTTTCCTTTCCCCTTACGAGCATTCTTCACATGCTGAAAAGGAATATGAAGTGCTAGTTGTTCTAACATACTTCTTTTGTTTCCAGACAGTTGACTGTGAGCCAGGAAGCGAAGATGACGAATCCCTTCGTGAAATGGTGGAACTGGCTGCACAGAGGCTTTATGATGCCCTCAGCCCAGTATACTGACCTCTGTAGATACCTAGGACACGTCAAAAAAATCTTTTAAATGTTCAATTTATTTGGACTATTTTTTAAGAGTAAATAATTTTTTTTTCTTCAGTAAGTCAAACGTATCAATTCTGTGACTGTGAAACTGCTGACTTATTTCAAATAATGGATGAGCAACCTTATAGCAACTATGTTTGTGCATATAGATCATAATAAAATCAGGCAAAGTGTGCATATGTTCTTTTTTCTTATGTGCACATAAAAGAAAAAATTCTTAACCTATCTAAATGTAGAATTACAAAAGTTAAATTGAGAGAGTTTTATATTTTTGAAGATAACGGCCACTTGGAGGATAAATTGGATGTTTTGGGTTTGCATATGCTCAGAATCAAGCTTGTATATGATTTTGTTCCTGTGAAGGAAGCAATTACCTGCATGCTTGTATCTGCTTGAAGTCAAGCATTTAAAATGGAATCCATGTTTGCTTACTGGGGTTAATTGGAGCTTTAAAACTATGTATGCAGGCATTGCCATTAACCGGACTAGCTGAACAAAATCAGCTTCCAGCGAAGTCAGTGCTTATGGCCTGTAACAGCCTCAAGCGCAGATGGCTCCTGTCACTAATTCTGTGGCAGTCGGCACGCATCTGCTCCCGCTGACGGCCCTGTCACTCAGTGCTGGTGAAATAGTCTTCCTGGACAAAGCAAAATGGAGAATTTCAAATACAAGTGTGATACTCCAAGTTAGCTGGGGTTGTTGCCAAACAGGAAATCATGCTGAAAATCATCTTTCCCTTGTATACACAACTGTATTTCCCCCCTTTTCTCAGCTGATTAAATTGGCAGCTGGTAATCTTTACAGCAGTATTAGTGTGTTACTAGTATTAGCAGAATTAGGGACAACTTTCCTCCCCAAATTGTATGTCATTAGCTAACTAAGTAAGAGTATGAAATCTTTAAACGGAGATGATTGCCTTTTCTTTAAAAGGAAGTCTCTCTTTGGAACAGATAAAAATCTTATTTCTAAAATGATTCATGTTTTTTTAAATGTGCTTTCAGCCAATTCGGGGGGAGGGGGGTTAAATGTGTCAGTGGGTTAGGTTCCTACACCGTTGTCCTTCCCTCCTTCCGTGCCGCGGTGCCCGGGCTGCCCCTCGGGCGCCCACAGCCGCCGCCGCGCA